AAATCCATCGTCTTGTGTCTGTTCTTCGTTGACTCCCTTGTGTCACTTCCATTTCTGAGTGAAGACTGAGAAAAGATCCCACGTTTTTCTTTTTTTTTAAACCCGTGGTTCATCTATATGCTACAAGTTCATAACAATATATATATATATATATATATATATATATATATATATATATATATGTGTGTATATATATATATATATATATATGTATGTATATATATAAATATATATACATATATATATGTGTCTGTGTATGTGTGTGTAAAAATATATAGAAAATAGGAAAGAACTCGTTAGGTAAATAATCCAAAGTTCTTTAGTATTTTTGTTATTATTTTTTAAAATAGTGCTCGATACAAAAGTAGAGCATAAATATAATTATTTATCTAAAAATATGATTCCATCGCTAACTCTTATGTAGTGATGGAATCATATTTTTAAATAAATAATTATATATATATATATATATATATATATATATATAATATAATCAATTCAATTATATATATATATATATATATATATATATATATATACTCACAGATAATGTGTATACATAACAGATATGTGTGTGTGTGAATGTCCTGGCTTTGTAAATGAAGATTTAGAAGAGAAAGTTTTGGCATGATTGTTACAAGCTCTCTTACATCTGCAGGAGGCAAGTGGAGTCGTCCGCATCACTTCACTGGTGACATTTTAAGGTGGAGACTGGCTTTCATACCCCTGACTTCACCTTTAAACCAGAGATTTATGTGCCATGGTCCAGCAATATCTGATGTTGGCAATAAAGTCCTGTGGTCTTCAATTTTACTGTTGCAGCATTACTCTCTTGGTCCAGTTAGCTTTTGTGGGGGGCTGCCATTCCCCATCTTCACCCCCAATTTAGCATTTCAACAGCACAATTGATTTATGTCAAATAGAGCTCTGGTTCTGATCTCACTATATCAGTTTGTTATTTATATAATTATTGATTTTTGTATCTTATGAAATTTAATATCAAGGTCCTTCAGGTCCTTGCTACTCCATCAGTCCTTCGAGGTATTACCCTATTAGAAATCGGGTAACAATTGCCAAGTTATTGATAAACTAGAAAGTTGACTTGTGGGTCAGAAAATGATTAAATAAGTTAATTAAAATATCAAATCTGATACAAATAGATATATAATTAATTTAAATACAACTGATTTTTGTTAAGTCGTTATAATTATTAAAAAATTTTTACATTATTTCCACTCAGACTAGTGTCCTCATTTTTGTTTAATTGTTACAATGTTTCAACTGTTGTACCCTCTGGGCTTCATCAGGGGCTTGTCAATCTGGGTAAACTTCAGGAAATTTTGAATTGAACACTTTATTTAATCTATGAGGATAGATTGTTCTCATTCTACTAACTATGGGATATCTTGTTTATTTCTTATTTAGAAATGCTAAGTTATTGAATCAGTGAATTTGGGGACAGAGTAATTGTGAGTTCAATCCCCGGGCTGGTTAATGAGATCTGACAAGTGCTACAAGAAAACTGAATAATGTTTTATATTTGTCTTATCAAAAAAAACAATATAAAATCTTCACAAGATATTCAACAAAAACACAGTAAAAATCAGCTACAGTTGCACAGAGAACATGACGCAATAAAAAATCACAACAGGAAAACAATCAAGAAACCAAATTATTGAACAAATTATTATACCTGCATAATAATCAAAAATGTCCCTTAAATGGCATTTGCTTGCAGAAAAATGTAATATAACAAGCCACTGTAAAATCAGCCAATAACAAAGAAAAAATATACATAGGAGTAACTGAAGGATCCTGGAAACAAATAAATTATGCACGCAAACCATCCTTTACATTGTGTAAATATGTGAACATAACAATGCTTTCTAAACATATCTGCAAGATTAAAAACAAAAAAACAAATCACACCAACATATCATGGAAAATAAGAAAAAGAACATCAGCCTACAACAATCAATCCAAAGCTGTAAACCCTGCCTGGAGGAAAGAATATCTATAATTACCTTCCCAAACCAAAATAAACTACTAAATAAATGATCAGAATTCATCTCAAAATACACACACAAAAACAAAGCTTTACTACGCTACTTAAAAATTGAAAACTGAAAATGAACAAAAATAAATGAAAATAAATAAATAAAATAAAATAAATAAACAAAAGTAAGTAAAATAAATTAATTCACACAAATAAATAAGTAAATAAACTAAATAAATAATAAACAAATAAACAAACCATGCCTACCAAAATAACTGTTAGAATAATACAATAGACTACCCACAATGCAACAGACTTCCCACAATGCATCACTGACCAGTATATATAAATAGTTGAGAAAAAACACAACACACATGGCTTCATGATCGCATTTAGCATAAAGCAAACTGTCGCCTCTGGGTGTTTTCAATGTACACTTTTATATTTACGTACACTTTATCTCTGAGATTGAGCACTTTAACCCATAAATATAGCATACCTTAAAACTATATTTTATCATATATATATATATATATATTGTGTATTTGGGCAGCAATTCCTCTTTTATACAGGTTTCATTAAAATTGACTGACAAGGTACTGAAGTTAAGTTTTTTAATTAATTTTTCTTTTCTGCTCATAAATTATGAAGAAATTGTTCAAATGATCTGTATCTCTGAGCACTTACTACTATGAACATTGTTACAATGTTCTGGCCATGTTTAGAAAATAAAAAAAATCCTATAACTCTAAATACATACCTAAAACTGTCCAAACATTCAGTTAAGAGTAGAAATAAAATCATCCTTGATAATGACTAAAAGTGCTTGGACATACAGAATAATTGGACAATTTCTACATAATTTATATCTAGAGAAAGAAACAGATTATAAGAACACAAGAAAAATTAAATAAAAACTTCAACACGGTACCTTGTCAGTCATTTTTAACGAAACTTGTATGTATATATATATATATATATATATATATATATATATATATATATATATATATATGTGTGTGTGTGTGCATGTGTGTGTGTGTGTGTGTGTGTATGTAAGTGATGATTGGATACTGAAAATCCTCATGTATAGCCAACTTTTTCATGCTAAGTGTAATGTAGGTCATCCTTGTTTACGCTTCAAGGACAAACTCAAATACAATTTAAATGCTGCAAACGTCCCTATAAAGGAGTTCAAACTTGCTGTTGAAAACTAAGCAAACTGGAGAAACACCTGCCACTGAGGTATAATGAACTTTGAAAAGAATTGTCTCAACCATCTGTGAAAATTATGAACCAACATTAAATCTTGGGCCAATACATCAGCCCATATGACAGTCAACCCTTCAGCATGTCCCTTGTGCAGACTTGTTTGCAAATCCCATTTAGGATTTTTGTCTCATATGTAGACAAACATAATAACTGAACTGAAAGACATTCATATGGCGAAAACGACAGGAGAGTCCATTATATATATACAATTTTATTTTTTTCGGTGTACATATATATATATATATATATATATATATATATATATATATATATGTACACTATACACATATATATATATGTACACTATACATATGTACACTATACAGATATATATATATATATATATATATATATATGTACTATATATATATATATATATATATATATATATATATATATATATATATACACTATACATATATATATATATATGTATGTACACTGAGAAAAAATAAAATTGTAACACTCAATATTATTTTACTTTACTCAAGATTAAATATACAGGTATTTTAGCTTGATTATGACAAAGGATTATATATATGGATCAAGTCCTGCATAGGTAACATAATAAAAGATGCCTCAACAATATTCAGACCCTGCATGGTCTATATACCTTGAATACTAACACAGGTCACTCACACAGACACAAAAATATAAAAATTGTTTATACCATATCTGGTATATTCCACATGTACATCTGTAAATGCAATATGGCAAGAATTGCAAGTAGGCAAATGAAATAAAGTAGGTCTATTAGGTACCTGAACAAAAGAGTTTTATCAAGTGGGGGGAGAAAGTCAAAAGAGGGCAGAGAAAAGTAGCTTTTTCAAGTGGGTTGTAGGATTCTAGATAGAATCCCTTGCTTAGTGAGCAGATAACTGAGTACAATTGTAGGCAACTTTGTACAATTAGGGGCAACTGAGATGAATTAGTGCCCTTGATAGATTAAATCCAGTCCTGAGAAGAGGTCAGCATGAGACATGCTGCAACAATGTCCAGATTCACACCATAGGGAATAAAAATATTCATAAAGGACAGATGATACCCTCATCTCACCTTAACATAAATCTTGTAGAGTGCAAACCTTATCTATTGTAAGTACCATGTTTATGTCATGCTATGTTGTTGTTTTACATTGTTGCATTTAATAAAAATGGTAAACATATTTAGGCATCCTTCTTTTCATTTCCCTTTAGAATTTTGTATTTATTTTCGTTTGGAAGCTCCTTGAAGTAGGGAGCTTTATAAAATAACAACCCAACAGGAGGAAGAAAGTCAATGATGACAGAGAAAATGACCATTTACAAAGTAGCTGAGGAAAGGAAAAAGATGGCAAAAAAAGAAATTTTTCTCAAGTTGGTGAAGAAAACCAAACAATAACAGAGAAAAAGTGTTTGTATTATGTGTATGGAGACAGCCAAAGGAAAGCAATGAAAAGGAGCTTTTACTAAGTGGGTGAAAAAAGCCAAACCATGTCAGAAAAATACAGGTTTTATCAAATGGGTGAAGAAAGTCAGAGGATGGCTGAGAAAAAGAGGTTTTACTAAGTGGGTGAAAAAAGCCAAACCATGTCAGAAAAATACAGGTTTTATCAAATGGGTGAAGAAAGTCAGAGGATGGCTGAGAAAAGGAGCTTTTACTAAGTGGGTGAAAAAAGCCAAACCATGTCAGAAAAATACAGGTTTTATCAAATGGGTGAAGAAAGTCAGAAGATGGCTGAGAAAAAGAGGTTTTATGATGGTGGAAGAAGCCAAAGATGCCAGAGAATCAAAGCATCTTTCAAGGGGTGAAGAAAGGCAAATAATGGAAAAGAAAAGTACCTTTTACCACATGTGTGAAGAAAGCCAAATAATGAGCTTTTATCATGTGGATGAAGAATGCCAAAAAAAGGGCAGAGAAAAAGGAGCTTTCTTTTCAAGTGGGATAAGAAACAGGTAGACAAGGAAAGGGCCGTTTTACCACTTGGGTGAAGTAAGCCAATGGTTGAAAGAGAACAGGTGATTTTTTCAAAGGACTGAAGAATGTCAAAGAATGCAAAAGAAAAGAAACTTTTAATGTGGGTGTAGAAAGCCAGATGAGAGTTGAGAAAAGTAACTTTTATCCAATGGATGAAGATTACCAAAAGATAGCAGAGAAAGGAGCTTTTATTAATTGGGTGTAGAAAGCCAAACGATAGCAAGGAAAAAGATCTATTAACATTGGTGAAGAAAGCCAAATAATGACAGAGAACAGGTGCTTTTATCAGGTAGACCAACATAGCCAAACGATGGCAGAGTACAGAAGCTTTTTTTTCTAGTGGGTGAAGGAAACCAAATGATTGAATAGAAAAGGTGCTTTTACCAAATGGGTGAAGAAAGTCAAAGGATGGCAAAAAAAACCCAAAAAAAAACAAGCAAATGGGTGAAGAAATCCATTCAAGCAAATTTTTTCAACCACTTTTCTTAAGACTTGTCTGATCCATTGAACCAGTTTCTTATTTTTAATCACCTGATTGCGATGCCACTGGGTAAAATCACAAAATCAATTCAAACACTTTTATCTGAGAAGCATTTTTATTAAAGACTTTAAAATTACTGAAATGAACTTTTATCATCATTTAAAAGTAGAATGTTAGTTTTTCTACTGGTAATTAGGCTCACTGATCTGGCAGGAAAAAAAGGCTTCTCAGCTTCAGTCATCAGATTTCAATTCAATCAGAGTTTTGTTTTAATGAGTTAGAAAAAATTTAGGAGAAGAAAATATTTAGGAAAAATGCCAGCAAATTCTTTCACTTTCATATTTTGCTTGAGTGCAAAAGTTAACACATAGGAAGTGTTAACAAGCATCAACCCTTTTCTACATTGTGAAAATTAATAAGTATCTGGCCTTTCTCAACATCCTTTTTAAATACTTTCTTGAATTCTAACTAAAATCCTTTTACTTTGAGTATAAATATCAATTTTTTAATCTAAATGAATTTTTCAAATTTTAAAAGTGAGATTTCTTTTACATAATGATATTTTCCTCTTATCATGGACAACTGTTTTTACTGCATAAAACAATATACCATATATTTCCATGTATAAGGCAATCATTCAATTTTTTAAAAATACACCCTAAAATAGGGGGTTTAACCTTAAATCCTGTTGCATATCAGCACTGTAAGCTAGTATGTTTGCAACATAGACTAACAATTGCCTCAATAACTATTAATGTAAATACTTATAGTTAAAACAATTCACATTATAATCCTCTACTATACATATAAATATAATAAAAGTACTTTTACTTGTTGATTTCACATTAAAAGGTACTATTCAAGAGATGATTATGCAACAATTTGCAAAAGTTTCATTGAACAACATGCACAGGTGATGAGTAATGTAAACAAATCTTTCATTCTTGACTTGTAGTGCTATGCGTGCATTGACACCCATCATTATTTCTCATAGTAGTGTTAAAAAGTAAAAGTATATTGAATAATAAACTCTTCTCTTTCAGCAGTGTCTACATTCTATATTTTTATCATGTCCTTGTCTTTTATTGATGAAAGGAAATAATTTTAAAATATCTATTCTTTTGTTTATTTTTACAAATTCTTACCACTATGCCAGTCACAGTGACTTACATTTAGATTTAGTAGAAACATATCCTATCCTCTACAAAAGTTAAAACTTTAAAAAGAGGGTTTGAAGAATTTGACACTCTCAAGACATATTAAAGAAAAGAATTGTGAAAAGGAACATTTAGTAAACTGTTTAATGAGCTTGTGTAAATGAATGGCAGAAGATAGACTTGGATGGTAAGGAGACAAAAGAAAATAGAAAGTTGTGGAGATCTATAATCACTCATGTCGTGAAGGGACATGGTGTATAAAAGAAGAATAAGAATTTTTTATATCAAATAATGGCATTAGTTTACCCCAGGACATCAGATGATTCTCAGCCAAAAAATTATCATTTCTCACTACATTTAACTAGTGTTTACCTATTGATGTGTATATTTGCCAAGTTTGAATTATTTACTAAATAAAGCGGCCAATGAAAAGACTCAGCCACTGGACAAAAGGCTATGACAATGAAATTCATTGAATAAAAGAAGGAAAATATACACTTTTCCTCTTACTCGTCCCTCCACAAGTTGTCTCAATAATTTGCCTGTAATGTCAGTTTTGCCAATATTTTCTAGAGAAAATTTTGTTTGTAAATGTTAACAGGTCATACCTAAATTTGTAAATCATCTGAGCAAAACAAACATTTTTTCAACTTAATTCCAGAATGCAATTCTGTAGTTTTCTGTTTTTATCCTATTTTACCAATTTTGTCCAATTAACAACATCATTTCAGTGTCAGATAATTGCAAGTGCAGTGAAATTACTTCAGTTTAGTTGTACCTGTTAAAAGAATTTGATGAGTGATTGATTTTAAAATAGTTTCCATTTGTCACTAATTCTCACATGACCAGTTTATTTGCTGATAATATTTTGGTCAATTCCTTTCAAATGTCTTGCAATAGTTTCCATTTTAGAATATTCTTCCTCATCAAAATCAATCCCATAAATGTTGACATCCTTTCAAATTTTGATCTGTTTTGGAAATCAAAAATTTTAATCCTACCATTAATGCTGTTGCCATCAGAAGCTTTACTTATTTTTTCAGTTCAACATTTTCTGTGGAATACCAAATAACACCAAATAATTTTTCCACTTTCTACCAGATTCTTTATTGATGATGAATTATCATTATTATATGCCTTTCCATTCCAAGAGATAAATGATCCAAGTGAATTAAATCATTGCTTAAAACATATCTGTTTTTCTGGAAGTTGTGATTTCATTCCTTGAGTTGGATGGTGTTGAAAATTATTGAGTCAGAATCAAAGTTTATAGTGTCTTTTAAATGAATTTCAAGAATATTTAGATATTTTTACATAGATTTATTCAATCACATATGTGCCATTTTGTTCCATTACCTTTCATCATCTATGAATAAACTTCATTATTGGCATCTTGGTTATTCTATAATTATTTCAGCTCTCAAGCAAGATCCTGGTATAGCTTTATCTTTCTTTGTTTCACTTAAATCTGTCCCCAATAGTTCTAACACCGTGATAAGAAAATTCTCTGACTTCATGCAAAATGGTAATGTCAGCATTTTTGACTCAGTACAAAGATTAATATTTCAGATCTCAACATTCTTAAGCAGGTGTTTGTATTCTTTACAAGAGTTACTGGGTTTGGAATTTCATTTTTTGTTTATTTGTTTTAATCACATTGCATGCTTGTGGTAATGTCAGCTGGATATATTTTACAAGCTTCTTTTTAAAGGAGTTAATAGGGAAATTAAAGAAAAAAATGCATCCATTGCAACATAAACAAATGCATTGGTAAAAAAAGAAGACTTTGCATAACTCTTGCTCATATTTTTTAGAATACCAAGTCTTTTCTGGACATAAGTGATCATGGACCACCACATATTCCTTTTATTTATTATCTGTAAATTGCCAAGATAGTGGAGTGGTTTTCTGTTGCCTTCTTTTTAATTAACCCAATACAAGACCTAAGAGCCACTCAAGGTAGAGGGTTACTAAATGAGGTTGTGGTAAGAGCATTCACCATTATTTTGATTTCAGAGTTATCTTTCTTTTACACTAGCTGTCACTCAAGGCTAGGAAGCCCAGTCTACTCTATTTCTTTTCTTTCAATGAATTTCATTGTGATAGCTTTTTGTCTATTTTTGGCTGAGTCTCTTCATCCTGACATGAAATTGACTGCTTGATTCAATAAATGATTTACACTTGGCAGACATACATATAAATATATCATAGCTGGCAGGGATAGAAGAGATGGCATTTATGTGCAGCAAATGCAACGAATGAGGCCAGATTTTGAACGCACATCACTGATTCTACTTTCTATGGCAATTTTACGCTTACCTGCACATCGTTCTTGTTCATATACTTACCCAAATTAATACCTCATATCATAAAAGAATTGGATTGAGGTATATAATATATTGGAACAATCCATGGAAATATGATTAGTTAATGGTCTTCCAATAAAATCATAATGATGATAATTATAATGACAGAAATGGACTAATCCATTAATTTACTGATTCAGTCTTGCTACCAGCACCATTACTGATGAGGTTTTCATCAATGATATTTTCTACCCAAACATGTCTACATTTTTAGACTTCTCGGACAGGACTAAGCTATTTTCAATTTTTCTTTTTATTATTGGAAATATCTCTTTTACTATCCCCATCCACTCATCCACTCCCATTGGGGGGTCAACAATATTCTGAAGAACTACTCTCCACTCCATAGTTGATGAAATCTATCATATTTTTTTTTTTACACACATAGTATCTGCTGTATGTATATCTAAGTATCTTTGTACAACTTCAGGTGCACTATATATGTACTTTTTGCTATATAATGACTTATTTATTGCTGTAGTTTCAGTTTTATGTTTAGGGCATTTGTTGTATTTGGACTTCACTCGCTGGCTTAACCATTTTCCAAAGTGGACAATGATTAAACGATTTATTAATGTTGTAGCTTTTTTTTTTACAAGATGTTGAGTTTTGCTGATATTAAAGATGTATTATAGCTATAAATTCTTTGTTCAAAGCAACATCATTCTCCTTTTCAAGTATTGTAAATGGTTACTATCAGAACAAATATATCTCTCCTAATAATATAGCCACTCTATACTTCTCTAAACATAACCATTCTTTCCAAGTTCTCTTCTGTATAAGTGAATGTCTTCCACTGTCTGTTGACTCATGACATGATTTTGAATCCTTGAATAATTACAGACCAAGAATAGATAGAACCATTTTATTAGAGGATAGTCCAATCATGACACAAGCTTGGTAACTGACAGATCTGCAATGCCTCTGATTAGACACTCCTACTTTGAAATTTAAATAGCTGAGATCTGGAAAATTCAATATTACTCAAGAGTAGTACATTAAAAGTGAATGTGGTTATCACTTAAAGTTCCTCCATGATGATTATCATAATGTTTCTTATATTTCATAGCAAGTTTAGAATTAGGCTTGAAATTGAATGTTATATATATATATATATATATATATATATATATATATATATATATATATATATATATATATGTCATCATTTTTTATTTCTTGATTTCTATATCTGTCATTGATATGTGCCATATATTACAGGTAAGTACAAGCCATCAAATACCCAGCCATCCAGGAATGAAAGACATCGGCTATCATAACTCTCCAAAACCCACAG